CAGGTTAATTTTGACTAAAACACTCCATAATCCTTTCAGTACACTTAAGTTTTGGGTGTTATTCCTAGTGAATACTTTTTTAATACAGTTGACTATAGTGGAACCATAAATACCCACTCCAGAGTGCATAGTGTTGTTGATCCTTTTCAGTTTTGTAATATAACCTGTTTTCCTTGTGAAAAACTGACACTGTACTCATAGTGAACACCATGCAACATCCTTCAAAAAGGTGACTGAGAATACTGATGTGGGATCTAAATCAAAGTTTTATTATCAAGCTTTGATAAGGTCATTGAAAGTACAGACTGGTTACAAATGATAAAAGTCTTCAATAACATCACAGCAGTTGATGGTGAAAAAACAGTTATTTCCAGCAATGTTAAAAAATCAGGTAGAAGGTACAGTATGCTGCAAATGAACTAACAATATTAGACAATGATCCATCAGAAAACTGTTTAAAATCATTGTGCATGGGATTGGAATATCTTCAGAAATACAATTGTACTTTTGTGTTGGCTAATTTAAGTTTTGCTGCTATATTTAACACAGTATATATTTTACCATTTCAGAAAAAAAATATTGCATTACCTACAATAACTATGCTTTGGACATATCCACTACCAGTACTATGATTAGACAGATCATTAAATGTTTCAAAGATTGCAGTTATGTAAAATACTGTAAATGCAAGGATAATGCTATTTTGTACATGTTAAGACGGGCAATACCATTTGTGTAAACATGATATTTTGATTCAATCAACAATGTATTTATTAAATTTAAATCAATACCATCCCAGAATCAAATATTTTTGTTTTCAGTATCTTTACTGTCTTATTGAAATCCACATTTCAACAATTTAAAGAGATCTTTTCATAAACCTGGCATAGTGAGTGCACAGGAACAAGTAAAGATTTATTCCATGCTGAAAAGAGAAGACAAACATTTAGGCTGTGGAGCCTTCTTTGGATGTGGATAGTTCATAGTGAGTGGATGTTTACATGTCATAGGTCCAATCATTCCCTTTCTAATTTAGCACTGTGGCATATAAAGTATGTTCTAACCTATGGATAATCATGAGCATATGCTGTAGAACTAAACTTTTTATTTAGCAGACCTTGGAAGTGTATCTTTATTACACATTTTGTTCATTTATGATATACAGCATTTTAAAGTTAAAAACTGGTTTGGACATTTTTTAAGTCTTTGGATTCTAAAACTATCAAAGGTATAACAAGTTAATTACATATTGTACACTGGACCTCAGATGGTCTTCAGTCTTGAAATCATTGCATCTTC